CCCCAAAACCCCAAAACCCCAAAACCCCGTGGCGCTGACTTAGCGAGCAGTCTATGATGCGTTAAATTAACCTAAAGCCAAATCAAACTTAATAATATTCAGTTTATTACTTAAATGGAATAAAACTAAAAAAAGAGTTCACTATAAAACACACTATCATAATAGTCATCCTTACACCATCATCATCATGTGGTAACAATTGCTACGACTTAAATGTTTTTAGGAATTTAAAGATACGCATGAAATGTTAACTCATAATGACTAGATTCTAAGTAACTTCATATCTAAACAAATCAGTATAGCACAATGAATTGAAGCCAATAACATTTAAATTTCTGCTTGGATAAATATTTTCTAGCTCAGTTTCAAATATGCTAGGTATTGTACTTGGTCATCCTCTTGATACTGTAAAAGTAAAGTTTTTCCACCTACTTATCATGAAAAATAGACAAGAATGCAAGTGGCGTAGGGTTAGCTAAGTATTATGCAAGTTGTACACTAATCATGGCAAATTGAAGGGGTATTTTATTGAATTATCTTTTAATCGTCATCACTCTAGTATTTTGGATTATATAAGGGACTTTTATCTCCTATGATGGGATCAATGCCATATACCTCTATGTAATTTATTAGCATCCTAATTTTGAAACAGAGTCTTCGTAGCAAATGAATTAAGTAAAAGAAAGCTCTAGCAGTATGATTTTAGCGATAAAAATATGGGATTGATAACTGGTGCCATTGGTGGAACGTAATATCGAAGTATTTTAAACTTTAAAGTCTAGGTTTATTTATTTATGTGCCAATGGAAGTACTCAAATGTAATGCTTAGGTTAATGCTTAAAATTTCAAGGGATATAGAGAATTTATACCCGATCTTTTGAAGAAATAAGGTCCATTTGGATTCTATAAAGGTTATTGGGCGACTTTCTGGAGAGATGTGCCAGGTTGGGCTATATATTTTTATTCTTATGAGGCCTAGAAATAGTTCTTCTAAAAGAACTACCTTGAAAAAATTATTTAAAAAGAGGGTAAATCAGCATCCTACAGAAGAGATGAGTTCTTAATCAGACTATTTTGTGGTGGAATGGCAGGTGTATTTAGTTGGCTCCTCTGTTTTCCTTTTGATGTGGTAAAGACACAAATTCAAGTGAATATCTTATCTGAATAACCAGTTGAAATGAGAATGAGTAGAATTATCAAATAAATCTACACAGAAAAAGGAATTAGGCATTTTTACATTGGAATGGGAGCTAATCTAATCAGAACATTCCCTGTTGATGCAGTTATCTTAGCTAGCTTCGATTACCTAAATGAATGGTTGGACGGCTATTAGTGAGTGAATTCGTCTAAGTAAGATGTAACAGTGAACTTATCATTAGCTTTATTCTATTTAAAATTGATAATCTAGCTTTTTTATTTCAATCTATAGATTTTCTTCAAATAGCCTTTAATTTATTTATGGGGTTTTGGGGTTTTGGGGTTTTGGGGTTTTGGGG